CATAACTCGACATAACTCATAATCGCTGACATTTCTAACCCCCGAGTGTGTGATCATTGCCGGATTCAACAGTGAGTAACCGACATAAAAAATTTCAAATTAATTTCAATCGAAAAATTTAAACGATCACTGCACGATTTACGTCAATAAACCATTGGTTTCGAGGAATCAAAATTTGAAATTTTTTGCCGTTTTGAACTAGCATAACCCTGGCATCCGGTTTCTCACATATTAACCATTGCCAACGAAATTACAATGCAAATAAAGCGCCAACTATCTCGCCTTTGTTTGCTGTTATCGGAATTTATAGAAAAAGTTTCCAGCCTTTATTCCCTAATGTACCTCTTTGCGAATTTAAAATAAAATTCAACCCCCCATGGCAAAACCCACTTTTTTATGTCCATAAATCGCGGCATTTCAATGCATTTATACGTATGATATGTTAGTGTTTGGAAAATATAGTAAGAAATTCGAGTAAAATTATAATTAGAATGTCTTACAGATATATTTGAATACAGATAGCGTTAAATTTGCGTTGGGCTGTTTGAACACAAAGTAAAGGATTGACGTGAGCTTCCGCTATTTTTTAAACGTTAACCATCTCGTATAATTACGAATGTGTTTTGGAAATGCGTTACTTTGAAATCATGGTGTTACTCATGAACGATACATCGGAAATTTAGTTTAACGATAGCGGGAATTGCACATAAATTTTTGAAAATATTGAGTGGTTCACAGCGCCATATGCTATACTATGCCTACATCGGCATATTCAATAACTCTGATCTAGTGCCAGCCTCGACCAAAGCCCTATACATTCTTTACAGAGCCAATCTAATTTAATAATCCTAGTTTGACTGTGACACAAACATAAATTCAGCGCAGCAACACACGACTATAGAATGTTATGTTAAACAGAACAGACATATGCGACTAATATTGCTCGCCCATATATGAAATCAACGCACGTAGCGCCAAATAAGGCCACGTGACATCTGCTACTCTACTTTGATATACGAATATGGAATCCCAAAATTACCGTATTTTACGGACCATAGGGTGCACCGTCAATGAATTGCTTAGGCCTAGGGGGTTTGTAAATGCATATGACGAACAGGGCGAACATAAAGCACTACCTAGCACACGAATATGCCTCACCGTCTTTAAATGCGGTGGCTGGGGCTTTATGCTTACATAAGACGCACCAGGCTAGAAGGCGTGTCCCGTACTAGTGTTGAGTGTAGCTTTACGTTATCCATGCATTTGTGTAATTGGTCTATAAAGCGCACAATCAATTTTTAAGTTATAAAAGATTCAGAGTGCGCCTTGTGGTCCATAAAATACGGCATACTGACTTGCTCGAATCAGCCTGAAGTTGGCTCAAAAATTGCGCGGATTGACGAATAAAATATGATAATGACTAATAATAACACTTTTCCGACTGTTTGGGTTGCGTGATATTCATAAAACAAAATATAATTTTATTCGAATTATGTTGGGTTCTCCCTTTAAATCATCTCTGCTATAAGAAAGGTCGCATATAACTATTCCCAGTCAAAGTGGCAATTTTGACGCGACAATTCCTACACGAGGTAGATTTCTCATAAAAATGTTGTCTGAAACAATATGACCGCTCTGCTTGATTCGTCACAAAGCTAATTAAATTTAAAATCATAGTACCAAAAATATCCGGCAATTTTTTGGCTCATGGTAAATATTTAAAGAAGAATGGAAACGTTGTGGGGTGGGGTTGGCGGACAGGGTCAGGAAAGACCACGTTTCACCATAACTCGACATAACTCATATCACTGATATTTCCAACTCCCGAGTGTGTGATCATTGCCTGATTCAACAGTGAGTAAGCGATATAAAACTATTTCAAATTAATTTCAATCAAAAAATTCAAACGATCACTACACGATTTACGTGAATACACCATTGGTTTCGAGGAATCAAAATTTAAAATTTTTGCCGATATGAACTAGCATAACCCTGGCATCCGATTTTCACATTTTAACCATTGCCAACAAAAGTAGCAATGCAAATAAAGCAGCCATCTATCTCGCCTTTGTTTGCTGTTATCGGAATTTATAAAAAAACTTTCCAGCCTTTATTCCTTAATTTACCTCTATGCGAATTTAAAATAAAATTAAACCCCTCATGGCAAAACCCAACTTTTTTATGTTCATAAATCCCGGTATTCCGATGCATTTATACGTATGGTCAGTGTTTGGAAAATATAGTGAGGGATTCGAGTAAAATTATAACCAGAATGTTTTACAGATATATTTAAATACAGATGGCGGTAAATTTGCGTTGGGCTGTTTGAACAGAAAGTAAATGATTGACGTGAGCTTCCGCGATTTTTTTAAACGATAACCATCTCGTATAATTACGAATGTGTTTTGGAAATGCGGTATTTTAAAATCATGGTGTTACTCATGAACGATACATCGGAAAATTAGTCTAACGATAGGGGGAATTGCACAGAAATTTTTGATAATATTGAGTGGTTCTCAGCGCCATATGCTATACTATGCCTACATCGGCATATTTGATAAATGTTATCGAGTTCCAGGCCTGAACAAAAGCTTTATACATTCATTGTGAAGCCAATCTAATTGATTTATCTATGTTTAATTGTTGCACAAATATAAATTCAGCTCACTAACACACAGCCATGGAATGTTGTGATCAACTGAACAGCGACTCGTATCGCTCACCCATATATGAAATCAACGCAACGCCGAATAAGGACAAGGCGAGACTAGGGCTTTTTCTATATAAGTCGCACTGGGTTAGAAGACTTAGCCCGTACTGATACTGATTTTGAGAGTAGCGTTAACCAATCCATACATTTGTGGGCGCTCCTGTAGTATGTGCACCAAGATGGCGCACAACCTGATCACCCTAACTTGGTACACACACTATGTTAAGGTTGTGCGCCATCTTGGTGCACATCAGGTGCACTACTTCAGGTACTATTGTATTCGACGTCCAAAAACCTATATTCGACGTACAACACCTATCTTCTACATCCGAAAACTTATATTTGACGTCCAAAATTCTATATTCGACGTCCGAAATACTATATTCGACTGGTGGGCCGCTAAAAACTGTTATCCCAGCTGCAAGGGGTGAAACTTTCAAGACCAGTAGCATCAGAATTTTGACACCTACAGTTACTTAAGCAAGGCTAGCAAACGCCACTATCTTGGAAAGGATATTTTAGTTTTGTTAATTCGACTCTTTCTAATGAATCGGGATATTTTGTACAAAGCCCTTGACAGAACGCTTGAATTCAAAAATTCGACATTCTAAACACCGAAATCCTATATTCGACGTTTGAAATTAAAAATTCGAAGTTCGAAATCCGAAATCCTATATTCGACGTTTGTAATCAAAAATTCGACGTTCTAATAACCGAAATCCTATATTGGACGTCTAAAATCCTGTGTTCGACGTCCAAAATACTATATTCGACGTCCGAAATCTTGTATATCGACTCTAGGGCCGCTAAACTGTTCGAGTTTTTAGGAATAGAATTCCAAGACCAGAAGATTCAGACTTTCGACACCGTCAGTTGTTTAAGCAAAGCTAGCAAACGCCACGATTTTGACTAAAACGAGAAAAGATTTTCCCAATGTTTGGTTTGCAAGATATTCATAAAACAAAATATAATTTAATTCTAATTATGTTGGGTTTTTATAGTATTTTGACTTTCAATTCTCCCTTTAATCTACCTCTGCTATAAGAAAAGGTCGCATGGAACCATTTGCAGTCAAAGTGGGAATTGTGACGCGACAATTCCTACACGAGGTAGATTTTTTATAAAAATGTTGTCTGAAACAATATGACCGCCCTGCTTGATTCGTCACTAAGCTAATTAAATTTAAAATCATAGTACCAAAAATATCGTCAATTTTTTGGCTCATGGTAAATATTTAAAAAAGAATGAAAACGTTCGTTCGGGGGGGTTGGCGGACAGGGTCAGGGAATGACCACGTTTCATCATAACTCGGCATAACTCATATTCGCTGACATTTCTAACCCCGAGTGTGTGATCATTGCCTGATTCAACATTGAGTAACCGACATAAATTATTTCAAATTAATTTCAATCGAAAAATTTAAACGATCACTGCACGATTTACGTCATTACACCATTGGTTTCGAGAAATCAAAATTTAAAATTTTTTGCCGTTTTGAACTAGCATAACCCTGGCATCCGATTTTCACATTTTAACCATTGCCAACAAAATAACTATGCAAATAAAGCAGCCATCTATCTCGCCTTTGTTTGCTGTTATCGGAATTTTATAGAAAAAGTTTCCAGCCTTTATTCCTTAATTTACCTCTTTGCGAATTTAAAATAAAATTCAACCCCCCATGGCAAAACCCAACTTTTTTATGTCCATAAATCCCGGTATTTCGATGCATTTATACGTATGATATGTTAGTGTTTGGAAAATATAGTGAGGGTTTCGAGTAAAATTATAATCAGAATGTCTTACAGATATATTTGAATACAGATAGCGTTAAATTTGCGTTGGGCTGTTTGAACACAAAGAAAATGATTGACGTGAGCTTCCGCGATTTTTTAAACGATAACCATCTCGTATAATCACGAAAGTGTTTTGGAAATGCGTTACTTTTAAATCATGGTGTTACTCATGAACGATACAGCGGGCATTTAGACGAACGATAGCGGGTATTGCACAGAAATTTTTGATAATATTGAGTGGTTCTCAGCGCTATATACTATACCAGGGTGGTCCAAACCCAGGCCCGCGGGCCACATGTGGCCCACCGCTTCATTATCTGTGGCATATTGACATATCGACATATTGTTGCATAACTAATGTCACTGATTTGACTAGTGTTGTGGCTTGCTGAGGCAACTAGCGAAGTTAAACGAGCGAAGTTCTTGGCACTATTGTGGCCCGCGAACAATGCAAAAGTAATTTTGTGGCCCGCGGAGCTGCCAATCTTGGACCACCCTGTGCTATACTATACTTACATCGACATATTTGATAAATGTTATCTAGTGCTAGGCCTGGACCAAAGCTCTATACATTCATTTTGAAGCCAATCTAATTGATTTATCTAAGTTTAACTGTGGCACAAATATAAATTCAGCTCACTAACACACGGCCATGGAATGTTGTGATCAACTGAACAGCGACTCGTATCGCTCACCCATCTATGTATTCAACGCAACGCCGAATAAGGACAAGGCGAGACTAGGGCTTTTTCTATACATAAGGCGCACTGGGTTAGAAGACTTAGCCCGTACTGATACTGATTTTGAGAGTAGCGTTAACTAATCCATACATTTGTGGGCGTTCCTGTAGTATGTGCACCAAGATGGCGCACAACCTGATAACCCTTACTTGGTACACACACTATGTTAAGGTTGTGCGCCATCTTGGTGCACATCAGGTGCACTACTTCAGGTACTATTGTATTCGACGTCCAAAAACCTATATTCGACGTACAACACCTATCTTCTACATCCGAAAACTTATATTCGACGTCCAAAATTCTATATTCGACGTCCGAATACTATATTCGACTGGTGGGCCGCTAAAAACTGTTATCCCAGCTGCAAGGGTGGAACTTTCAAGACCAGTAGCATCAGAATTTTGACACCTACAGTTACTTAAGCAAGGCTAGCAAACGCCACTATCTTGGAAAGGATATTTTAGTTTTGTTAATTCGACTCTTTCTAATGAATCGGGATATTTTGTACAAAGCCCTTGACAGAAAAAAACTCATCCGCCACCGCCCAACAAATAATAATTATCCAGTAAGAGTGAGGGCTAGGAATGAAGATTGCGCTGGAAATTCAAATCATTCCTTATCCTTAATTTTCATTTAGTATATCTTTATCTACCGAAACTGGGAGAGCGAAATCCATCAGAAAATGTATCTGAAATTCACCGAATATTACTCACGGGTGTGGTATCGACGACGTCGTTTCATAAAGATAGAAAGAGCAGCCCAAACTCTCTTTTGTGACGCAACACGTATCCTAAAATTTGAAAGAGAGAGAACAATTTCTCTTCCCGCTTCAGAGTAGTGAGTCAGCTTGCATAGGATATATTCCGATGTGAATAGACTGAAGCTTCATTCTAAACTTTGCTGTTCGAAAATTTATTTTCATCGAAGCGAAATTGACGAAATCCTTGGATTCGAAATGAAGATTCCGATTCGACACAGTTTTATCGGACTAATACTGTTGATGGAAGCTTGTTTATTCATTAAAGGTCAGTATAATCGTGCATGCTTTGTTCGGTTTGCTTGTTTGCCTGTTATTTTTATTTTTTGAAGATAGGCTGGGGGGGGGGAGGGATGGAGCATATTCTAAATCAATTTTTTTGGTTATTTGATCCCAGCTGGTGAGTTAATTCTGACATCAAGTAGAAGTTTTCCCCAGTAAATCAGGCAGGATATTTGAGCTATTCTTATGGAAGCTGAACATTGAATAAATTTTTGGGCCGGAATTCTATAGTGTTAGCGCTGTTTTTTCAATCGGCTAGTAATATTTGCTTATTTTACAAAAAAAAAAAAAAATATTTTAAAACCTCACCAGCGATATTCAAATATAAAATTAGTGCAATAAATTGGTTATTCAAAAATTATATAAAGCCCCTAAAAAAATCAGGCCATTGATATTTGAACAGCATGAATCTTTTATAAGTATAGAATTCAGAAATCTAATAATTTTCGTCCTTAGTGTATTGATGACGTTTTTTTATAAGTTTCAATATTTTTTCTGAACCACGTCAAAAAAAAATTGCACACAAGAAGATGAAAAAAACATTATTTGTCCAATTTAGCAAATTTTACCATATATCTCATAATTATATTCCTAAATAAACGTTTTAGCTACTAAAGGCGACACGACTTAATTGTGAACCGAAACAATTTTTTTGGCGAATTTTGAAGCTGTTTTCTCGCGTCGCGCCCGGTATATTTGTATCAGAAGAAATATTTATTTATTCCGGCGTAGAGGATGTCGGTATGACGGTGTAATAGTATGGCGAACCTCGGTCTCTCGATAAAGGTTAAACCTACATTTAATTAGGAAAATTTTTTTTTTATCCGATATCTTATTCTCTGAATACCTCGTTTATTTTGCCAAGTATTGGGTGAGTTTCTGTACTGTTGAAAAGGTTTGATTTACCAGGCAAAGTAAGCTGAAGCCTAGGTGCCTCAATCTTAGGGGCCCCGGCATTTAATTTTAAACTGTTTTCAGCCATTTTTAAGTCGTTTTTAAATCGTAAAAGATTGTTCTAGAATAAAACCGGTTTAAAATTTTATAAAGCTGATAATCAAATAGTTTCCTCCCAAGTATTTAAAAATTAAAACAGTGGAATATTGAATTGTATAATTTGTAAAACTATACTCTGATTCCATGACCTTTTATTACGACATAGTTTCTTAATCCACTATTTAATCTACTCGGGGGATTACCGTCGTATTTTGCCAGTAGATAATAGTCAATTAATTTTTGATGTCATAATATATTCTTTATGACGTCATTGTTCAGGAGAAATCTCACAAATGGCACAGCCTAGGGCCTCTTATCGTCTTAATCCCGCAATGGCGGTAGATCTTAACGATGTAAAACGATACAACGCTTTTGGTTTTGAAATCTCCGATGCGAGCATCACCTAATTTGATTTGGTTTTTAAACTTAAAATTTTAAATATCGTCATATACACTCAAATGTCCAGAAGGAAAAAATCTCTCATAGATCAGCGGGCGTGGTGGCCAATTGGTGAAGCGTCATCTTGGGGCGATGTTCGTGCATAAAAACGTTTCCCGCTGTGCAAATTTTGTAGCCATAAGTTTTGAGCTATTTTAAGGTTGCCGCTGACAAGTAGACCGAATGGTCATTTCGCGGTTATCCTGCCATCCCGTACAAATATTTTTATGATCTTTCTTGTTTTTATTTCATTATAAACAAAAGCAGCAAACTATGGGAAATTCAACTTTCAAGAGTTTATTGTTCGTCAAAAAAATTGAAACGATTCTCAAAAACCGGAAACTTAATCGCGGGTATCGGTCAGCAATTAGCCCATGCCCGCTAAACATTGTTAGGTTCCCCAATGGCGGGCGTAATAATTCAAATTTGATTCGACCAATCATCATCGAGAAGTAAAAAAATAGAGCGTTCGCATGACATGTGTAAAAGTATAAAATTTAGTATGGAATGAGCGAATGCGCGCCTAAGTGGATAGGTTCTGAATTTGTCTCGTTGTGAAAAAAGTTTATTTAAATATTTTTGTTTATCTGTTATAATACTATTTTAAAATAAACATATTATAAATGAACATTTCTCTCGATTTCTAATTTCAATTTTCTCCTAATAACAGGTGAGAAATGCTGGATGCCTATGGTTTGCGACGGGCAACCTACTTGGAGAGACGTTAAGGTGAGAGTGGTAGTGCTTAGTGGTAGTTTTATATTGCTGGTATTATTTGTGAAAATAAAACTGTTTTGTTTGAAATCGGGAACAAATATAAGAAAATAGAACGTTCTAGCGATTTTTTCTGTAAGTAATGGAGGTTTGAAACTAACACTGAGTTCGATGGGACCCGATACTTTATCCCAGATTCTACGTTTTCACTTTAATCCATGGGAACACTTTTTTACGGCATATGGAAAGACTTGCTTAGCTAGGGCAATACTACACGGATGTGCAACCTACATATCCATATATTCAAACATTTCTCTTGTTCTATTTCAGAATGGACAGTGCACAAAAGACGAAGAGAAGGCTTTGGAAGGTTAGCGTCTACAATATAATTCGAAATACGTTTGTTAAACAATCGTTTTATTGGTAAAATTCAAATCATTTTATATCTTTAATGCGTCATTTTTAACAATCACAGCTAACGTGGAGTTTAGCAATACCCATCTCATATTCTTATTTTTAACGGGAGAGAGCGGTACATATCTTCCAACAAAAATTCACCGAATTCGGACTGTAAAACTGATGGCTCAAATTAAATTCTGATTTCGTTTCGCAGCCTTAACGGAACAATTACACGGAATGAAAAGTGAGCTCCATCAGTTAAAAAAGACAATGGAAAAATCAGAGACAAACTCAGTGCTGTCCTCTGTTGCAAGTGTCAAAGAAACAACTACGCCCTCTGTTGTAGGTCTTAAAGAAGCGACCACGAATTCTGTTTTAGGTGTCAAAGAAACGACCACTCCCCATGGTATAAAGTTTTAATGATGTTATTTGGTATCACATGCACTAGAATAGATACTAAAATAGTCCATTTCAGTCATAGTAATTGGCAATACGGCGATTGTGCGAAGAAACTGAAATAGAAAAAAATTGAAATATATTCACATTGTCATTTAGTACCTTAAAGTACCCAGAACTATAAATCTTGCTGTAAACTTGTGATATAAACTCGTTTTTTCACACAGGATACAAAGACAAGACAACTTCTTCTACCAGCGCTTCAACCGCCATTGGCACATCACCTTGGTCAACTAAGGAAGCCTTTTTCTCTACTTTTCGCCCACAAACTACAAAAGTTGAACAGAGTACAGGTTGGTGTGGCTTTCCCTCATTCGTTTTTCACTCGGAAAATATTTTCCCCCCTAAACGCTTTTTAGTTCGCGTCAAATATATTAATTTGGAATTCCCCAGCACCCCATCCCAATTTCTATGAAGTCATTTCCTGTCATTTTTTAACATGAAGTTATTCAAAGACCACAATAATGTTTTCAGATAAGTGTGAAGTCACATACAAGAAAAAATGCTACCGAGCAGTTGTGTATGATGTACGGAATGTTACCTTCCACGATGCCAAAGCAATCTGCAAATCAATGAACGGAAAACCCGCGAATATTTACGATCTCAAGCATTACCAGCTGCTGCTTCCTTATCTACGTTCACTGATTCCTGCTGGTCAGACATGGATTTACATCTGGACTGGAATGGAGTATAAGGTCAGTTGATGGATCACAATCTCAGCAGAGTTTGACTCATTTTTGTAAACTTCATATTGGGTACAATTTATCAAAAGCGGTTTATTAATAAAAGTATCAAATGATGAGCAGGTTAACGATGCCTTATTGTTAATTGGGGCGATTAATAAAAATTAAAAATATTAAATGATTTCTAAGATATTATGACGTCATATCCGAGTCGTCCGATCGCGTTTTTTTTAATTTCCAAATATTTTAGCATTTTTAATTCATTAATTTCTGCTTTTTACCCATTTTTATGTAACGTTATCCCCTATTACCTTTACTACGGAGCCTATTCCTACACGCAAATATTTTCATTCTCCATCTAATATGTCAGTTGTATTAACATTTCAAGCAACAGATATTTAAACTGTTCTTTCAATTGTGACAGAACAATCAGCTTTTGCTGTCCAATGGAAACCAATCACTATAGCAACAGAAGTGTGGTTTCCTGATTATCCGATATCCGATGCATCGTGGACAAATGTTGGTGTTGTTGTCGATAAAGATCCAGAGTATGCAGATCAGGGAATGATTAATAATCCACCATCCTCCCCATCATACGGTGTCATCTGTGAAATATAAAACCAGATCAAAACCTGACAGAACTTTGTTGACGGATTCAATGATAAAAAAGACAAAAACAGTTAAATGACTGTTGTTATCTATATAGATTTTCATTAAAATTTTTGTTCGCTTTTCTATGGCCGTTGTTCTAAATGTTCAAATTATGATAGGTCCATGTCTGATTATGCAAAATTTATAAGCTGCCCATGAACGATCCGATCTTAAATTACTCTTCAATTTCACTAAATCGCATATTTTTACAAAGACTGTTTTTCAAGCATTAAAACCTTTAAAACGTGATTTTATTTATGAGAGGAGACTAAATTACGTGTTTATAAAAGTTAAATTACTGATATTTTTACTTATGCATTTTTATTCCACACTGAAGTCGGCCTGTGATTAGAATTAGACAAAGGCCATACAAGTATGTTCGTCCTATTATAAATGAAACTTGCTTTTTACTTATTATTACTCACTTTCAGTGGCAGAATTCAAAAAACTAAGAACGGGTTCTCTATTGCACCGAACTCGCTAACAACGGGTTCTCTCATTTTAGAGAAACATACTGAACTAAATCATAAAAAAACAGGAACGGTTTGCAAGAGCCTCTTGAATCCTGCCACTGCTTACTTATATATTGTTTCTATACTATTATTTTATTATTAACCGTATAACCCATGCCTTGAACTGGTCGCCTTGTCTATTGAAACGTATTTGCTCAGTAAATAAATTCATAGCTGTCTCCATGTGATTTCTGTATATAACCAAACATGATAATAAATATTGATTCGATCATTTTTGGGTTTCTTCGTTCTTGTTCTGAACCAGCGAGTCAGTTATTGGAGAAGCGAATGAAACCAGATATCTGGGAAAAGCGTTGAATCTAACCTCGTTCACAGATTACACTTAGAACAATATTCGGAATTCTCTGCCCAAACCTACTGTCTAATATGACCCAACACGGTACTGGTAACTGGACGAGAGTATCGATGAACTCCCTTTGCAAAATATAAAATATTTTAAGACTTATGGACACCCTATATCTTCGATAGCCTAACAAATGCCGTTATGAGCGTTGTTATTACATTGTGTGAGGGAAGGGGCATGACCTAGGTTGCCGCGGTTCACTAATGATATTACGTCATGCAGGTTTGTAGCATAGAAAATATTAATAATAGGATCAAAAAAAGCGAAACCGTTTTGACAAATAATTCGTTGTCGTTCGGAGTGAACCATTCGGCAATAAGTTGTAACAATTTGAGTGTGGTCTTAACTGAACGGCAGGTGTTTTAGTTATTTGCAAATATACAACATTAAACGCATAACTTCGGGAGAAAATAAAACCCGCGTTTGAGATTGAGAAAGCCCCAAACCCGGATTTTTAAGGTCCTGAATCAGCCGTATTACGCCATATTAAAATATTTGTCCCCATAAAATATATATATTTTGGGCTGTCTAGCGCTCTTAACGTTCTTAAAATATTGATGTGATTATGTAGTGTAGAGGAAGCACGACCTGGATGACATAGGTTGCCCCTGGTCATCGGGAGATTAATAAGTAAGGCAAATGTATTTTATAAATCGAGCGGGATTATAAGACACACTGTCAATAAATTGATTAAATTGTTTTTTTTTCATACGTAAGGCATATGTGGAGGAACATTGGCTTATAAGGCGATCGATTTTCGAGAAAAAATGCGCTTTGTGGTTCGTACAATACGGTGATTCTGATGACATCTCAGGTTCGAATCCCATGCCCGCTATCTCACCCAGAGTGTAATAAATTAGTGGAGTAAGTCTGTGAAGAGAGATTATTTAGAATATCGTTAAAATATCATTGACTGCTTGTATCCGGCCTTGTTCAGAGCGACAGCCGCGAGTAAGCGTCGTATTACGTCATATTAAAAAGGGTTTGATTGTATCACATCTCATCATGATCTCGGTACACGAAATTTGGAGATTTTGAAATTGAAAAAAATTCAATTTCAGGAAGTGATCGTCCAATCGGAAATCATAAAGGGCGCGTATACATTTCTTGGCAGATATATCTCACTGAGTATTAATATATCGCTGTGAATAATGGTATTATGTATGTTATTAATGTATTATGTATGTTTTTCCAGGTTTCTCAAAAAAGGTTTCGCTTTGGTACAATGGTCTCACTATTCTGGGCTAGTGGATATATATAGGGTGTCCATACAGTCCTTTTACAATTTCAATTTTGGTATGAAGTCAGTTCTCAATATATATATATTTATCTTAACTAGGTTTGTTGCTTTTTGATCAGTGATTGTTCAAGTAAGCTCACTTCATTATATACACCTGTGAGGGCCAAAACAACATATATTATCGATAAATTCCCTTGGCAATTTTAAAATATTTTAGAACTTATTGACACCCTATATCTCGGATATCCTAACAATAGCTGTTATGAGCGTTGTTATTACGTCGTGTGGGGGAGGGGTCATGACATAGGTTGTCGCGGTTTACTAAGGATGTTACGTCATGCAGGTGTATAGAGAATATTATTATTAGAGTTTTAAATAGAGAAACCGTTTTGACAAATAATTCGTTGTCGTTTGGAGTGAACCTGTAAGGCAGTGGTTCTTAAACCAGGGTTCCGCGGCACGAGGAGTTCCGTCACCCGTTCGTACGACCCGAGTTTTGGAGTTTTTATGTTGAAATTCGAAACCGTTTCTAACACGAGCTTGAAGTACAATATAAAGCCATACATACCACTTGCTGACTTCTGGGAAAATTATTCACTGTTAGTTTATTTAAACTTTTGAAATCACCATTCGGCAAAAAGTAGTAACAATTTGAGTGTGATCTTAACTGAACGGCGGGGGTTTGAGTTATTTGCAAATATACAACATTAAACGCATCACTTCGGGAGAAAATAAAACCCGCGTTTGAGATTGAGAAAGCCGCAAACCCGGATTTCTAAGGTCCTGAATCAGCCGTATTACGTCATATTAAAATATTTGCTCCCCATAAAAAATGACTGTATTGTGAGCTGTCTAGCGCTCTTAGCGTTATTAAAATATCGATGTAATTATGTAGTGTAGAGAAAGCACGACCTGGATGTCATCGGTTAAATCGGGAGGACATGACAGGTTGCCCCTGGTCATCGGGAGATTAATAAGTAAGTCAAATGTATTTTATAAATCGAGCGAATATAAGACACACTGTCAATAAATTGATTAGATTTTTTTTTTTTCATACGTAAGGGCATATGTGGATAGGAACATTGGCTTATAGGGCGATAGATTTTCGAGAAAAAATGCGCTTTGTGGTTCGTAAAATACGGTGATTCTGATGACATTTCAGATTCGAATCCCATGCCCGCTATCTCACCCAGGATGTAATAAATTAGTGGAGTAAGTCTGTGAAGAGAAATTATTTAGAATATCGTTAAATATCTTTGACTGCTTGTATCCTGCCTTGTACAGAGCGAGAGCCGCGAGTAAGCGGGTTTTACCTCATGGGTCGACCACCTACGGCCCGCGGGCCGGATCCTGCCCGTGGAGTAACATAATACGGCAAATTCCCTGAATTATAGTAACAAAACAGCTGTTTTGACGATTATATTTTTACGTTACACAATTCATTGTGAGACGTGTGTAGACTAAATTATATTAATATCTAACAAGTATAGAATTCACAATTACTCGTTTAATGGGCCTATAATTTAATCATAATTAGACAAATGGCAACAAAACGTAGAAAAGTTGATGCTAAGTGCAAAGAGTTAAATGGCGCCAAAAATGCGATGCAATGAGGAAATAAATCTATATTCTATTCGAGAGATGTATCACTGCTTCATTTTTATTATAAAAAGTATCATCCGTTCGGTTGTTCAACTTTCTAAATATATGTGCGGCCCGCCAATGACTTGCAACCAATATTTTGGCCCACGAGCGACAAAAGTTTGCCGACCTCTGTATTACGTCATATTAAAAAGGACATGATTGTATCACATCTTATCATGATCTCGGTACACGAAATTTGGAGATTTCAAAATTGAAAATATTTCAATTTCAGGAAGTGATCGACCAATCGGAAATTATGAAGGGCGCGTATATATTTCATAGCACTTGGAATATATTTCTCATCACTGAGTCTTAAATATCGCTGTGAATAATGTTATTATGTTGAGCGTGACCTCTGTCGCATTTTGTCATTGGTTACATCGGGAGGGCTTGACCTAGGATGTTACGTACGTGTATTACGTGACCATTCAATGAATTTCTTAGATTTTTTTTTCATACGTAAGGGGCACTGGGCTATAATACGCATCCGTTACCGATACTGCTTTTGAGCGTGGAGTGCACGATCGATTTTTGAGGAGGAATGGATTTGAAGTTCGCCTTATGGTCCGTATAAACGGTAAATATGATAACATCGCAGTTCACGGTACTCCCGTAGTATGTGAACCAAAATGGTGGACACCGGAACGTAGTATGTTTACCAGATTACAATTGGGCCATAACTTTAGGTACAAATCCTACGGAAGTCGCTTGGCTAGTCCCCTAACATTGTAATAGAACTAAAATAAGGGAACTTGGAATAAAATTATGGCCTTACCCTAACTGGGTACTCATACTACGTTCCGGTGTCCGCCATCTTGCTTCACGTACTACGGGAGTACCCAGTTCACATATCTCGGATTCAAATCCTATGCTCTCCACCTTGTCTAGAGCAGGGGTTGGCAACTTCTCTAGTCGGCGGGCCAGATGTGGGAAAATGAAGTACTCGGCGGGCCGGATGATTACAAAAAATTCTTCGGTATCCAATCTTTATTAGATGCTCATGGTGATGCTGTGGAATATTATACTGTCTATCTTGATACATTCTGGTTTAAACAAAGAAATATTCATAACCTTATATTTGGATGGATTTGGATTAATCTAGAAAAGTATCCAGGGCGGAAAAAGCACGCATGCTGATTTCCAGGTTTCTGAATCT